TCTCTCCTCTCTATTTACAGGAGAGTCCCACAGCAGGATCTTTTACCTCCTCTCCCACTAACCTGAGACAGTGATGAAGGCTGACCTCAGGTACCAGAGGAGCCACAGCATGGTTCAGAGGGGAATGTGATCACAGATTTAGGACTTAGTTCTAACATCCTGTGCTGTCTTTCAGATTGGAAGTTGATTTATGTAATAAAATCCAGCCCTGCACTATTTCATAAAGTTGATACTTGGCCATTAAGATCTCAGTGGCACAACAGCACCACTACTGAACTCTTCAGATTTGGCCTGAACTCCAGCTCATGGATCACATCCTGCAAGGCAATGCCTCTTTCCCCCAAAGAGAGAAAGCTCTCTGGGCTACTGTGTTGTTTCTAGTCCACGTCTGGCAGAGAATGGAAAAGCCTGGAACACACATGCATGTGTTCTGGAAACTAAGGTTCCGCTAGATACACGTGCTTCTTAGTTGAAGTCTAAACACTGAAGTCTTGCATTTTTAATTCCATTCAACAGTAATTCAATACCGCTTTTCCATTTACAAATAAATACCATTAATAGGCAGAAATATACCATATGTGTTTTTAAAAAATGGCAGTATCACCACTACCACTTTACCTTTGCTTCCTGGACTCTTCTGGAGAGTCCTCAGGTATGTCTTCGGGCACAGTGAGTCTCAGTTTCCTCACCTGATGATGCTCCCCGGTTGGAATGGGGAAAGCCGAGTTCCTTCTTTATTTTATATTTCACTTTGTGGGGGGGGAGTTGCTTGTTTTGAAGGTTAACGGCTGAGAAATCTTGGGAGTCAAATGACTGTACTAAAAAAGCTGATCGCCACCTTACAGTGCTAGTACTGTATTTTTCAAACAGCATGAAGATTACAAGGATGCTTTTCAACAAGAAAGTACCTTCAACTCTTAAAAACGGTGTCTATTCTTCCAAAACCCTAAGTCAGCCTTCCCTCCCACCCCTTACTTTACAATATATAAAGGCATAGGTAATTTCTGCCCTCCATACACAACTAGCACCACAAACACCACAGTATCTTGCTGTATTAGTTCTGCTGGATGCAACATACACAATCAAACCAGAGCATTCCTTGCTGTTTGTCCCACACCAATGTCCAAACTCAAAGCACTGCCAGGTAACCTCAGTGTAACAAGACAGACACAAAGCGGGTTCCCCTAATTTCTCTATAACGTACTGTCTATGCTTCTGCACTTAGTGCTTAGTTGCATCCAGTGCAACCCCCTGCAGGATTTTCAAAAAAAGACAGTATTTCCTGTCTTCACAAGGTTCCACCCCCAGTACAATCTCCAGCCATTTGGACCTCTGCAAGCAGCATCGACACACTGCTAGGCTTGAAGGGTAACAGGAATTTTCTATGCATTTTAAATGGGTTTCTTTCATTGTAGGACAAAGATTATAATCTTCTTAAGTCACACAGCCAAGTGTTAGGCCTTTGCACACAGTAGGCAACAGTTTATTCTTCAGCTATTCATTACAATAGCTATTACTTTGTCAGCTGGTCCCCACACATATCCTATAGGTTAGATTCTGGCTCTACGCTGTAAGCGCACAGCCACTGCCATCCAAGAGCAGCCAGGATCCCAACACCAGTGCTTCCCAAACTTAAACTCTGTCTCACAACAGCACTGCCAGTTGGCCAAAAGCAATGCACGCGCCAGTGACACTGCGGAGAGAGAGTGGCTGCATAGCCAACAGGACTATGCTGCACCATCAGAAAAAAAAAAAGCAGCAGACCAAGACCACTGGCATGAATTCTGCCTGTCTTTGCACACGAGGCAACTCTAGCTACTCTCACTGTATTAAAGGCCTGATTCTCATTTTCAAAGACTAGGAGGACTCTACCCACCGACTTCAATTGCAGTTAATCTGTGCTCCAATGACATCTAAATACAGAACATGCAACACAGGAAGGGGCACCCAGTGCACCTGGCTGTTGGCTCTGATGAGCAAAATTCAAAAGGCAGGTGATCAATTACATCAATAACATTTTACATCAATAATGTTTTACTACATATTTTATTACATCAATGGCTTGAAAAAATTTTATTTGATGTCAGCAAACATTGGAAATCATAGAAAAATGAATTATGTAGAATTTCACAAAGGAATTTACCCCACTATAATTCCTCATACAGTAAAATAATCCAAAACCAAATGTTACTTTTCAGTGGCTAAGCAATTTTATAATGCTATGAACATTCATCACAGTAAGTGTGCTGAATAATAGAAAACAGGCAAAAAAGACATTTAAAATATTACTTACAACAGCATTATTACAACATACTTTCTTTAAAATCCCAACGAGTATTTTATCACTTCAAAAGCTATACAGCATTTCCATTATATTTGCAAACTTAACCTTATACATCTTTTAAAATCTTGAAAAAACTTCTTTTAAGCAATCTATAAGCAGTTAACAAAATTGATAAAATCTACATAATGGAATACTATACACTCCAGTATAAATTTTATTTTAGGAGAATATGAATGTAAACACTCATTATTATACAACATGCATAGACTATACTGACCTTCCATCTTCTGAACTGTAACTTTCACTGCAATTGTGCTTTACTATCAACAGGAAAAGCTGCATTAATCCAGGGAGTGGCAGAAAGTATTTGCTTTAGGGGCATTGCACAAGATCACTAGATTTTGACTTGCTGAAGACAAGCTGGAGCTAATAAAATGATTTTCTTTCTTTTTTTTTTTTTTTTAAAAGTGTAAATATCAGGCCACTCATTGTTGAATGGGCTACGCATAATTTTATATAGATTTGAAAAAACCACAGATCAGAAAAAGTCTCTCACAACATTTTTGCAGTTCATTGACTTGGAGATTTATGTTCACAAATCCAGTGATCAAGTTAGTGTAATGCACTGTTTGGCTCATATTTGGTGTGCAAGAATACCAACAGCATATCAGCAATTTAGAGGATAAAAACTGAAATTTAAAGTGACAATGAGCGTATTTTAATACATAATGTTTCAGATGCGTTTGTACAGGAAAGAAAAATGTTTGTCAGGACATTGCTTTAAGAGAATAAGAGTTTCACTCTTATATTAGCTATTAAAAAAGTGTTCTAGTGAATATTTATGGGGTCTTCCTGGTTGCAAACTTGTAAAAATATATTAAGAATTCATTATCCCCATTGGTATTAAATATATCAAGACACAACCACTGTGGTTGCATTAGCAGTTATGGCTACTGTGGTCTTAAGCATCTGATTGTACATTGTTGCTATATGGTTAAGCACAACTGAGGCATGTATTTTTTCCCTTGGTTATAAGATTATATTACAAAAATTGATCACTGTTTCAAACCAGTTAAACACGAATATTCAAGTAACAAGGTTGTTTTAATGGATAAGCGAGAAAAGAAGTTACCTAGCACTTTACACAACTACGTAAAAATTAAATAGAACAAATGAAATTTGTTTATGCATATGCAATACACTTTTATATCTTTAAGATTTCTAAAACTAAAACTTAAACTATCATTTTCTTTAACGATACCATATTTTGCACAATAACTTATACTTAGGAGAAATAATTTCCCATTTTCCACAAAATATATATAATTATGACATTCACATTGATAGTTTAAGAAACAAAATTTAAGTGAATATTCTATATCTTATGCAGTAATCTTTGTGGACCCTTCTAATCAGAATGCAACCAGTTGGTATATCTAATGCTTGATCCATTTAAAAAAAAAAAAAAGAAAAGAAAAGAATAAAAGGGTCTTCACTTAAACGAGACCAAACCATTTAAACTTTTAAAAGCTAAAATGATTTTATCGCATTTAAAACATAATAGTTGAAGAGAACGTAAAAAACTAAACGTTTAAAATACAGTGCTATTATATTGTATGTATCAACTACAATAAGATAGCAGTCATCTGAAAAGTAAATCAAACAACTTTTTTCTTCCTAATATCATGAATTATACATGTTTCCCCCCACCCTTTGGGGATGAAGCCAAAACATTAACTTTTCTGATCATAAGATGGACAGATCTGAGGGCAAAAACCTATGACAAGTCCTCACCAGTAACTAACTAGCCAGTAGAAACTTTTACTGACGAATTGCACCAGCCGGGATGCAAGTTTACACAATCCCCTCACACTGGCAAGAGCCTGTCTCAGTACGTTCCTACCAGCGGGAAGTTTATACTAGAGTATTTCTAATGAGCGGCATTGCTTTACACCAGAACTGTCAGCTGAATTCATAGTGCCCTTTGCCCATCTTTAATCTTAATTCACGTCGACTAGCAACTACTGTCCTTTCTCACAAGGGACTCCCCACGCCCAGCTTGCGCAGACCAGAGGAGCATGGGCAGGTCCACCACCGGAGCTGCCAGTTCACATAAACAGCTGTAGAGATGCTGCCACTAACTTGGGCTGCCTCAAGGGATTACAGGTATCTAATACAGAGAATTAGAAACAGAGAATACAGAGCAGGGAATAGCTCCCTTCCAACCTCCCAGCATCTAAAAGGCTCTGTCCAGAGTGACCAGAATGAAGGTGCTCAGAAACAGCTGCATAAGTAGCTGAAATGAACACTTCCCAGGCTCTACTCTAGCTTGCCCTAGGAAATGCCTATCTGCTCCTTCGCCTTCACGCCATCACTTGATTTCTGATGCTGAAACACTTCCCCCACACAAGGTCCAAGGAGGAGACAAGCACAGCGATAAGTGAGGCTACTTCCCCTGCCTTTCCTGGGGTTATGCCTACACTGAAGGTGGTGTGATCGCAGCTCTGCGTACGTTGGCAGGCTGGCTTTAAGCTAGCTAGCTCAGGTACAGAGAAGAGAGCCGTCACAGCACAGAGCACAGTGTGGCCCAGCTGCTCAAACATCAGCACCAAGTGTGGGACTGGACTCCAAGTTGCAGCACCTCAGCCGTAGGACATGGGCTGGCTCATTTTGGGTTGTGTTACGAGAGGCTGGTGCCACACACTGCTGTGAAGGTCCTTCTCTGCACCCGCAAAGACACCTGTTGGTTTCTTCCAACATCATTAAATTAACCATTTGTAAATGCTTTGTGACTAGTGTTATTTTGCAGCTTTCCACTGGGCAAAAAATAATACTGCTGCTTCTAGCTTCTCTAAATACTGTCTGCTTGGCAGTCAGTAGCAAATACCTTGTTCAAGGTGCAAAGCCTGAACATACAGGACTTTCAAGAACAGCTCCATTTCAAACCAGCCAGGTAGGCCACAGCACAGGTCATCTGAGCAGAGGGCTGGGGATTTGAAAGCTGCATGCACCAAGTATTTGGAAAAGCACCTCTTAGATTACAAATTGCATATTTTGGTTCAGAACACGAAAGTGATGTGTGTTTCAAAAGGGTTAAGATAGCCAATTAAATTAACCCAGTCCTCTATTTAAACTTCCAAGGGATCAAAAACTACTTCTTTGAGGCTGAATTTTGTGTTCCAACCCTTGTCCAGGCTTCCAGTGGGAGAAGTAATTTGATGTCTTTGGCAAACAGCACTCTGAAGAGGAATGAGACACTGGGACAGAGAGTGACCTATGGTAGCCAAATGCAAAAAGGCACATATTCCAAAAGGAGAGGCACCAGAGAAAGTTTGTTTTGACTTAATCCCGCAGAGGATCAGGAAAAAGAAAGTTGTGTAGTACTCCTTTAACAAGTTACAATGCAAATGCTGAATGCCAGGGGTTAAATAGCGTATCAAACAGTTTCAGGTTACGTTTTCCCTTTTACACTAAATAAAAGCCATTAAAATATACAGGAATAAAATGCTCAATTAGGGAGCTTTCTATGAAGCAAGAACACAAATACAGTGGAAAGAATTGCACAAACCAGAAGTATAATGAGTTACATTTACAACCTTGGACTGACCCAACCTCAGAAATAACATTTCCTATCACTTTGCATTATTCACGATTGCTTGTTAACTGGCCCTGTCATTTCGGAACAAACCTGACACCACTGGCATGTGCACAGGCCTCTCCTTTATAGAAAGCTCACTAATAATAGTGTCATCGTAAGAATACACAGGAAGCGGAGACCACAAGGCCATGCAGCAATACGTACTTATACCCTACGGACCAAGTATTATAAGAACTCCTAACGTGTGGAGTTACTGTGGGGCTGCTAAGGAGCTCCTTGTTTTGCAGGTTGGTCAAAATTTACAGACAGGTGTTACTGGTTCTAGAAGTCCCCATGCTTAAGCAGGATGTTGATGAAATGGAGAGCTGAGCTACCTGGGAGCTTTGAAAGAAAGTGGAGGCAGTATGGAGGAATGAGGGGAGATTAAGGCAGATGTAGCACAGGACTGGAAGCGTTTGCCTTTTTTTGGTAATAGCTGCTTGTCCACAGATATGACGCAGATGGCTGTCTGAGGTTTGCTAATACCTGATATCCTGGATAACACAGTAGTCAACACAAATTGTTCTAGGCTACAGCACCTTCTCACGAAGCAGATGCATATCTGACATCAAGAACAGAAGTAGCCTGGAGGGAAGGGGGAGGAGGGAAAAAAAGGAGATGTTTAGTTTAAAAATGAATACACACATGCTTTCTTGCATCTCCAAGCTTCACCCCAGATCCAAGGTACTGAAAGCAACAAGACAGACAACCCTGGCATACAGTAAGGAATCACAGCAGCTTCTCTAGAGTTGCCTAGAGTTCCCTAAGCCTAGAGTTGAGGCCGATTTGTAATCGGCAATCTCACCTCCCCCCCTTCAGAAAAAGGAACTGTGGCCGCTTGCCATGAAAATACGCTGAAGGGGAAAGCCCAAAGCTGTCAGAGGGCTGACAAAGCTTCTACTAGGCTGGCGGCCAGGCAGACATAAAGGTCTGCCAGAGAAGAGCACCTGAGGAGCCTGTGTACTAGACCAGCTAAGCCTTTGCCTGGCTACCATGAGACTGAGCCCAGCTGACACAACTTCAACAGCCTGTGCAAGAAGCGCTCTCAGGAGCAGGCCCCAGTTGCATGGCACTGTACAGCTCAGGAGGGACCAAGCACTCCCCTCCTATCACATAGATGACCTGTATGGGCTAACTCAATCACACGTCACTTAGCCCACAGAAGCGTTCAAGAAGGCACCAGTTACCCAGCCACCTACAGCACTATGCTTAAGCTACCTCTGAAGGCCGGAGCACAACATACATCTACAGTCACTCTAGGAGGCAACATTTCTGTCTGATTTGCTCAGGCAGCGCAATGGCCATTAGGTCTCAACTACGCAACATCCTTCCTCTTGCAATTGTATAAAAAGCCATGGCTCGGTAGTTAAGATCTCTTCCATGCTGCCAGCACCTTCTTCCTCCCAGCCATGACACACACCACTTCAGTTCCTACTGTCCAGAATAGGCTCCATCAAGAACCACAAGCCACACGGTGCAAACATAAGGCAAACATGGTAAGTCACAGCCAGCAGCTCATTGCCACCCTGCCTGGCTCCTCCCCGTGTTGGTCTGCTACACTGAGCGTGGTGCAGGCAGGCTCCGAGCCTCGCTTGGTCCTCATCTGTCACTGTTCCGCAGGGCGCTGTAAACTGCCTTATTCTTGCAGTACCAGCCTTTTCTCTGGCCTTTGCAGCTACTCTCACTGGCCTATCTCTTCTTGGTCCCCTTCCCACCACTCAGCACTTGCTCAGGTCCAGCCTGGGCACTCCTCATCGCTAGTTTGGGGACCGTGACTTCCGCTCCACCAGCCATTTCACCCCGATCGTACTCTCACGCCTCCGCTCTCCCTGCCACCTCTTCCCTTTTCCTCTGCCAACACGTCAGTGATCCTCACTGCACCAGGATCCAAGCGCTTGGCTGCATCAGCAAACTCCAGTTCCTGCTACTACCCCCCACCCTTGTTTCCTGTCTCAAAGTGAGGCTCCCTTTGACTGTAACTTTCAAGAGAAAGGGTTCATCTGAAGCCAGGAAGAATCTCTGAGGGCTCAGAGAAGAAGAGGTCTGCATTGATGACTGATACAACTCTGTGAGCCACCAGAAAAGCCAGTGACATTATCCATCTGTTTTTCAAATAGGCAGCTAAGCACTAGTGTGATTGCTTCTTTGCTCCACCTCTCAAGTGTGGGAAAAATAGGGCAACATAATCCTCCCCCCACCCCTCGAGAACGCAAGTGTTTGAGTTTAGTTTTGTTCATTTTTCATACCATTTGACCTAGTCTCCAAATACAGGTATCTCTGAAGAACATATTACTAGGATTTGCGAAGCAAATGTGAAGTCCTACTCTCTGAGTCACTGAACATGGCAATGCACAAATAAACCAACCACAGCCAGGGCAATTTAGAAAAAAGAAACAGTACATGAAGAAATCTTACAGAGAACAACCTTTAGTCCATTAAAGACCAAAATTCACCTTTTGCTGTTGAGTGTGCTTGCATTTGACAAGAGGCGGCTTTTGTGCCAAGCTGTCTAATAAAACTAGGCCAAACGGAACCCTAAGATCAGATATTTTCACATGCAAACCTCTGTCTGGGCTTTTCTTTTGCAATGCTGTGTTAACATTACATTTTTGTAACTTCCATATTTAAATACTCTGCAGTCTCTTAGTTAATTTTAAACACACGTTGTCTTTGGAGAAGCATTTTATCAGTGAACCTCCTTCAGGTAGGAGAGCAGAAACGGCTGTGCCTAGAATTTCTGCCTTCATAGAAACCGCTGTAATTCAAAGAAACTGAGTGAACAGTTCCATACACTTGCCTTGTTTATAGCTTTCTTCCCTTCCCCCAAGTAAAAGCATTCCATAATCACAAATGAAAGAAGGAGCCTTGCCTCAGAAGTCTATGAGGTCTCTCAGAGCCAAACCTAGAACAGCTTGGAGAACCAAGTGCAGAGAAAGCATCCAACTGAGACAAAAATCTGTGTGGTTTCAGCGGTAAGAGGCATGAAAACGTCCATGTGCTGATGAGATTTACACAACATCAGAGGCTGCAAATTAAGTGTTCTCTTCCCACTTTCATTTAGGTCTGGAATTCCCAAAATGAACTCTGGCATCTGCATATCCAGAGGAGGTGAAATATGCTCAAGTATACTTTCATTTTATTTGTTTTAGAAGTAAGAAAAGGCTGATTGAAGATTGTGAAAAATGGCTTTTGCAAGGAGTTTATACATCTGAACTGAGCTCAGATTGGGAACTTTTGGTGGCTTTTAAATTGGATTTACCTCATCTTCCTCTTCTGACATTTTAGTGGAATTATCGGGGGATTTTACAGGCTTCTGGCTATTGGTTCCATTTGTCTCCTCTTTGCCATGCTCGGCCTCCCACTCCTGTAGAACTTCATCTATGTTGAAGCGACGTCGGTAATTTACAAAAAAGTTTTTCACTTGCACCACGGATTTGTTTCCGATCACATCAGAGATTGCCTGAAAGTCTCGGCCATATTTCCTGATTGCTGAAAGCAACAAAAACAAAACAAAATCAAAAGCGATATTTCCATAAGGACCACAGATCAGGATCAAATCACAGCATGAGGATCCAAAGCTGAACTTCATGGTTTCAAGCCCCTCTGACTAAACTAGCAAGAAAGAAGGTGTAAATTCGGCATGAGACACGGTTAAGACTAACTCCGCAAAAGAGAAGGCAATAGAGGTGGTGTGAAGACAGGCAGAGCCAAATCTGGAAGAGCTGAGTAGGATAAGACGAGCAAGAAAACAGTAAACCTGCCTGTATTACTGGAGAAGTTACACTGGCAAAGAGCTTTACAGTGACCCCAGTAGAGTTTCACTTTCTAAAAGCTTAGACAGCCAGAGATTATGTGCAAACACTCATGGTGCTATTTACATTGCAGGGGGATTGTTTCTCTGTTCGGTTCCTTTCTTTGGGCATTAACATCCAGCAATGTCAAAAGCCTTCAGCCACTGAAGGGAAATACCACTCTGAAATGAGACTTGTAGCTCCATACCTTGTACAGCAAGAAGCTGCTCATCTGTGGTCCAACGTGCATTAAATTTCTGAACGACCTAGATGTCAAAAAAATTAGGTAATTTCATTTGCATAAGCAACAACTTTCACTTGCATCTGAGCTCATAAAAACCTCATAACACAACAAGGAATTAACTGCTAGTCATCAATTTTTTTTTTTTTTTTTTAAAAAGCAGTAACAATGTTTTTAAAGAACTGTATGGGGCATCCAGTCAGTTAACTGTGAAGTACATTAAGTCCATAAGTTACTGGTAACATAAAGAGATAAGGAATGGTCTGAGCAGATGATCAAGAGCCACAAACTCTTCAGAGGTACATGCTTGTCTTTACCACAGATACCTCCTGTAATCTCAGTCAAGTTATTTCCAGCACAAGGTGCCAGAGTTGAAAGGAAAACAGGAAAAGCACCAAGTGCCAAGAGAGAGACAGGCCATTAACATCTCTCCCACGTTTTTAAGTATTGAGAGTCCAGTGATGACCTCTCTCGCAAGGACGTTTGGATATAACACTCCGAAAAGGACACAGTATGTCTGGGATGCTAATGCTTCCGTTAGAAAGCGATTTCCTAAGTTAAACGCTGCTTTGTTACTTTCTTCTTGCTTTCCATCTCCATAATGCAACACCAGTGAATACAGTAATCATCTGGATTCACCCTATGACAACTAATAGTATATTGGTTCTAGTTACTGGCAACAGAAATAGCGCTGATATATCAAACACAGATTAACAATTACCTTCACAGCAAACAAAGGTTAGAAAATGGTCCTACCTCTGGTAGTCTGTATTGTTCTATCCCACCTTCAAGCTTTTCTTTGAGAGCACTGTTTGTCTGTTTGATATTCTGAATCTGAAAATAAGAGTTTTATCCTTGTTAAAGGGATGAAACTTTTCGACAAGCCTTCTTTCCAGCAGCCCTGGCAAGATCCCCACAAGCTCAGCGTTCCAGTTCTCCTTACAGCCTCTCTTTTTCTAAAGAAATTTTTATACTGCACTAAAGGAATGTAAAAACAGCTGGGACATCAGGAGACCCATAAATTTATTCTATCCTGTCCGCAAGTTATTTGGATCAAGAACTGCCCCAGCTTGCAGGTTTGCATAGTACTCAGTATGAGAAGGAGTACTCAGTATGAGAAGGAAGGCCCTGTACACAGCAAGTAATGAATCAAGACTGCTAGAGAGCTTCTCCCAGAGTTCCAAGAGGAAGGCTTCAGGCCAAAATACCAATTCTATTAAGTTTAATAAAGAGCTTCAGCCAGATCTCTGCTCTAAAAACAGTGAAAACGTTCAGATCTGGGAAAAAGATTCAAGTACTAAACCTGTCTTTGCTAACAGACGTTTGAAGAAAACATTTGTTCAACTTTTTTTAAAGACAGATCCATCAGTGAGGCAAAAGCTGCATAAGAAAGTTTGTATGATACCTGTCTAGGAAAGAAGAAAAACCCACACATCACACAGAAAAGTCAGGAAGTTACAAATGCAAAGATCAATTAAGAATACACACTCAGTGAGTACCCAGTCCTCACCTCGCCATGCACTACCTGGCACTCTGATCATGCACAACCTCGACAGGGAGTCACCTAGAATCAAACGGCTATAGGAAAGGCTAGAAAAGAAATCCACGCAGTAATGTTCAAAGTACACTACTATCTGCTCCCTATGAGAGCTCTGGCTGTTTCAAAAAGCAGCACAGGAAAAGGTAAATGAAGTTAACTGCTGCTGATGGAAACCAGATACTGTTGAAACCAATGCCATCTGAAGGAGTTCACAGTTAAAACATAAGGAACTCCAGACTGCAAGGCACATTGACAGCCAACAAATAATCCTTCAGAAGAGCCAGCAGCTTCTTGGACACGCAAGTCAGAGCTATAGGCTTTTCCTCACTTCACTTTAGGTATAAAGCAGGCTACCACAGAACTAAAACATAACAGAAGTAAAGCACAGGACTGTATTAACTCTTAGCACAAGGCTGACAGCTTGTTAATTAAGCCACATAATAAGGATCATCACAGTCAAGCTATGAACTCCTGGGAACGCTGCAGACTGCGACGGACACCACCACCCAAAGTAGCAAACAAAGTTATGCTTGAGCTAGCCTATCTGTACCTGTCTTTTGATTGAGACCAACTCCATGTCCAGTTGTCGGAGTACAGTCGTAGCAGCTGTTGCATTGGCAGAAACAGCCTCTACATCTTCTTGAGAAAGGAACATTCCTTTGGGAGGTTTCCTCTTTGCTCTATTCTTGGCCTGCGTACTGTGCTTTTCTTTCTTCACCTGAGGAAGAGTTTCAGCGGGCGGCACCTGGGAAATAGCAGTCATTTTACAAAACGCATGGCATGTTTTAAGTGACCAAATAAACGCAACAGCAAGCCATGCTGTAGGAGCCCTGCAGTGATCAAGAAATCCAATTCTACATTCCTAAATCATTTTTCAAACCAGGAGCTACACCGAGATTGGGGAGATGCTTTAACCATTCATCTTCAGCCATGCTCAAAACTTGGAGAATGTAAAAGGTTGCTTGCTAGCAGGAAGAAATTTTCTTGCTCAAACAGGCATGTCATAGAAACACTGTATTGTATAAAGCTGTCCTTCCTTCTAGGCAGCTTTAATGTTTACAGAGATACTGGTTGCTTTTTCAGCCCTTTTTCATTCTGGAACAGATACCTAATTTTCACTCTGTTAAATATTCAAGTAATTTGCAAACACTCCTAGACCTCTTTTCTTGATTTCATCACTCAGTCTCAAGAGAAAAGTGAGTCTCTAAACTTTCTAGTTGTGTTCTTCCAGTGTCTCCAAATCCTGTTTTGCTCCCTTCTGATGTTCATGCGTTGAGATGGGGCGATGAAATCAAGAAAAGAGGTCTAAGAGCGTTTGCAAATTATTAGAACATATCAGAGAGAAGAGAGGATAAACCAAACTTATTTAAAGGCTAAAGATGAAGGAGTGAGGTGACTGCAAAGTAATTCTTAGATCATTATAAGGTTTCTTGGGAGCTAAGTTTTCTTGCATAGCACTGACAGTCACATAGCTGTTCCATTAAACTGATGCAGCTTTGCCTAAAAAAAAAAATTCAAGTCTCTCTTGGAAAAGTGAGTATTTCACACACCACTAATTATTTTCATGCCTTTTTTTTAAAATAAAGAATTAGGCACACACCTCCAGCAGATATATTAGTTAAGATTCACTATAGATCCTTTCAAGAGCACATTTGATTCTCTTTAATACCAGACCACCTCTTCTAGAAGTTACTTTCAACAAGCAACTCATACCCAAGATTAATTTATTATCCAGTGGCTGGAATATTGCCCAGAACATAAAACAGGAGGTGGGGGGGAGAGAAAGCAGAGAGGGGAGGTCGCACATCTGAAATCCTGTACTTGATCACTGCCGACTTTAAAACACTGGCTTCACTTAGTGCTATTGTTTCCCTCTTAATTTGCAGCTACGTGTAGTTTCTACACAGTCTGCGGCATTCGCTCATTAGTGAGCATTAAAACACTCGCATTCAAACCCACAGGAGGCTGTGCACAAAACCCCATGTAAGCATGTGGCTCTGCCTCCCAAAGGCTGGAGAACAGTACAGCTGCAGGTGAGTGACATGGTTACATGGGCTCAACGGCCAAAGCCGTACAGGAGCAGAAACGCGGACAGTTGTCCATTCTCAACTGTTTTCTTCCCACCATTAGTGCATAGGGCTTTATGAGAGGCAGTGCTTAAGGCAAGCCCATGAGCAAGAAGTAACTATTATTGTTGCGGGCCAAATACCCAATTTCTTTTCGCAGTGGGGTGGGCAAGCAGCAGAAACCAGACTGGTTTAGCTACAAACAAGCAAGGCAAGCTCTGCACTCTGCTTCAGAAGCAAGTGCTTTGATAACTGAGCCAGGTAAATTATTCAGCATGGATAGACATTTCAGATTTATTCATATATCATCTACATACAGAATTTCCCAGGATCACTCAGTAATGCCCTGCAACAGGTTCAGGCTGTCGGGTGACAAACACAACGCCTACAGTGAGAATATCCCAGAAGCCTCAACATAGAGCATAAATGAAAGTCGTTTCAGATGACTGTTTTGTCAAATTCAGAGAGCACGCAGCTATTACGCATTGTGGACAAGAAGCCCGAGCTCCAACAGAACCGTTTTTGACAGCTCCAGATGCCTCTAAGCCCCAGTGACATTGCTCAGGCTCTGAGAATTTAAAGTCTACCCTATCTGGAAACTCTTGCTTTCCTGACCACCCATATATCCCTATAGAATTAAATCAAATTCAGAGAGCACGCAGCTATTACGCATTGTGGACAAGAAGCCCGAGCTCCAACAGAACCGTTTTTGACAGCTCCAGATGCCTCTAAGCCCCAGTGACATTGCTCAGGCTCTGAGAATTTAAAGTCTACCCTATCTGGAAACTCTTGCTTTCCTGACCACCCATATATCCCTATAGAATTAAATCAACTCACCAAAAAAAAAAAAAAAAAACCCCACACAAACACCCACACCACATAGAATTGTAATACCAATATAGGGGTTTAGCAGCGCTTTTCTATTTATTTAGGTATTGCCATTGTTTTCCAGAGCACTTTAATTGTATAAACCTCCTTCATACAAACAAGGCCCCTTCCTCAGGTTTCACAGTTTAAAAAGAGAAGATCAAGTCATGTAGAAACACTAAATGAAACATAAGGCATTTCCAGAAACAACAGTCTTTGGAAGAGGGAAGATGTTAAGAAAGAAGCCCTAGTTCATGACCTTGGTATCATGGAGTCACTGTCTGAAGAAGTCTGAACTAACACATAGCTGCACTAACACTGAAAGTACTAAAAATAAGGAAGATTCCCCCTCCAATGATCCCCAAAAGAGGAAACACAGATGAGAGGTTTCAGATACTCTAAGAAATCCCAGTATCACCCGACAAGTCATACAGTAACTAACACGTCTCAGAGCCGGGAAACCCATCTCTGTGGGGTTGGGACAAGGAGGTTCTTTACAGTAACAGTCCTGGGCTAGTAGTCCATCACCACCACTGCAAGTCTGACCAAGTAATTAAAAGAAACATAATGATCAAGAAGGAGCTTATCCTTCTCCTGGATTCCTGCACTCTCTCTTGAGGGATTTTTCAATCAGCCCCAGGCTGCAAAAATCAAATCTAATTAACTCTGCACAGGCTATGCAGGTTGCCAACTTCATTTTACCCTTCAGTACAATTGCTGTCCAGAAAAGCCCCCAGAAGGCTGCCTGCCATTGCAAACACAGCACATGACAGCACACGCTGGGTGAGTTTTGGTGAGCTCTTCCAGGTTGGTGAGAGCACGCAGCGGCCCACGTTAGTGGGAAAGGGAGGGTAGGCAGTACTCTCCCATACACGACTTTCTACAGAAGCGTCTTGATGGTAGCTATCTGCCATCTGCTCTGTTTTGGCCTTAAAATAGACTCAGCTAAGTCTGCAAAGAACAACCATCTCCTCTTCTGCAGCAAGTGCATGGCCTGCCAGCATGGTAGGGAAGAAAGCGGTAACAAAGGGGACTGATAAAGAGTTCTCTTACAGATGCAAGTTTTCAAAGGGCTTAGGGTGAAATCTTAGCACAATTTTTTTTTTTTTTTTTTTTACTAAAATAATGGGAAATGAGAATATAGAAATAATTATTTACAAGACACATTGGAAAGAGCTGTGCGCTATGCAATTGCACCAAGGGAGAATCCTTCCCATGTGGGTGTTGCGGAGGCTTTCAAGAACTCAGCTTCTTGTAAGAGTGGATAGGAGCATCCGGTGTCACACCTGTGCGGCTCCTAGGAAGTCATCACATACACTGATTTCTTCAGCATGAGTAACAGCTAGACCTCTCTGGGAAGTCCAGAGAGCACACCAGCATGGGTGGCTAGCAGACTAGAATGCTGTGATTTTCTCATTTTTTCCATTCAAAGTAATTTGTTAGAGGAATGATTCTCACTGACAGGCACCAATAAAAAAGCTGCTTTAGGCTCTTATTTTTGCCTGTTGTGCAATCATGGTCTTTTATAATTCTAATCTGATTTTTTTTTTTTTTGAAAATGTTTAGGTTTTATGTAGAAAAAAATAACAAGCAGAGAATCACCATGGGAGAAAAAGCAGGCTATGAGAAATCAGGAGAGGGAGCTACTTCAACAAGACAAGGCCTTAGGGTAAACCTCCTGTAGCATCTACTCACACATACAACCCAGGCTGCTTCTACGTTGCAGGTTTTTTTGATTAGTAAAAAAAAAATAACCTGCAGGTTATACTAATGAAAATATTATATATACTTTCCTGTTATGCCTCACAGACTAAGTTTTCAAAGGTGTCCCTTAGATTTATGTGGCTCTATTTTCATCCAGAACTGCCTCCATTTACAATGAAGTATGTGAAATGAGTTGCAAATGCTGTGTTTTAAATATACAGAAAATATTCTGCACATAACAACAGGTAAAGCCTCTCTGCCCCTCAACAATAAACCGGCCATATAACAACTTTCTTCACTGTTTACCACTGTAGTTGCAATCCCGGTGCTGCTGAAATCCTCAGTACTATTGCTGAGGATTTCAATAGATCAGGAATTTACCTTAGAGTCTATGGATGCAGATAAACATGCTCTTGCTACTCCACCTAGAGCAGTTTAAAGGACACGTCCCCTCAGCCAAGTCATCACAACAGATTCATAAATGGTTCTACTCCGTTTCAGTGCACAGTTAGGTTGACTTAAACCATCACTGAAGGTGGTTCAAGCTAACACAGCCAATCTTGAACCAAAAAAGACCAGAAACATTCATATAATACATTCTCACAGGATGGTTAAATCTTAAATTTTCCTAGCTTCGTCCATAATAAGTTATGCCTATACTTGCCTTGATCTATTAAAAATTTTGAGGACAATTCTTCTTTTCCCATATGACAACTATACAAAGCACAAATAAAGACGACTAGATACTGTTAGCTTCTACATGAAGTAGTTGGTAAGTAAACACTTTCATTTGTACAGTAGTAAAAAAAAAAAGATACCTCCTTTTTGCTCTCCTTGTTTTGTTCAACTTCAATATCAATAGGGTTATTTCCATTCGTTTCTTCCATTTCATCCTCACTAGAAGACAAAAGTAAGCACTAGTGTATTATTTTGTGAGGCTCTGTATCTATAAACAGCATGCTGAAAGAAAGGCCTGGATGCAATAGCAAGTCCAACAGCTTTGCTTAGTAGTTTTTTCACAGGTTTTTTTTTTTTTCTTCATTTTTAGAGAGTCAAGTACTACTTAATTACAAATATACTGGGCACCATTTCTTGTAAAACTTCTACATAAACTTCTCAGTGGTGTATTTAGGCAAAGTATGCCTGTTCAGATGAAGGCAAGATACATAAAATCAATTAGACAAGTCATCTTTTAAAGAAAGTTGGACACTGAGCATTTAACTTCAGGCAAACCCAGAGAGAAACAACGACTCAGAACTACAGCAAGGAGCTCTAAGATGGATTTCATACAGCTTCTTAACATTTAGCAAGAGACACGCACAAGATGAGCTCCCTCAGGAACAAGAATAAAAAACATTCACCAGTCACAATCTCATATTTAATTCTCCCCTGAAAAGAGGTATCAGTTACAGAAAAATAATGGGCATGAAATTCAGGCGATAGTGAAAGTGACTTTGGCACACCTGGCCAGTTTAGCTTTATTGGAATTTTAATCAGACATTAAATCAAATATATTTTCACACACCGTTTAGAATTTTTGCACTGTACACAGCTAGAGTTAACTGTGCCATATGGAACGATGCCCAGAAAATGAAGGAATAACCTGACCTGTTCGAAGCTTTTTTTAAAATTAGTTATTATATAAAAATCAAACCTATTTTGTTACTTCAAACTTCACAGCCTGGGATAAAGACCTTCAGCTGGATCAGGGATGTCACAGCAACACAGCGCAACACAGGGCCGCACAGAGAAACCCAAGCATAAGCTGCACTACACTGCCTGGATGCTGAAGCCAATCTTGATGCGTTAACCGAGGAGCAAGGGACAGCAGGCTCGGGGGTGCGGCAGCTAACGTAGGTGCCAACGAGCGCACCTTGCTTGCCATACCAGCTCACAGTAGGGGCAGCTGTGCAGACATCCCCTAGGGAACCCACTGCAGGGTGACTTTAGCCGATATCCGTCTCCACGAGAGCAGTCACCTGGACGAGCCATTCTTTTTTTTTGCCTCAGCAGCTGATTCACAAGCTATTTAGTTTGTATAATCATGGGTCCAGGAAATAAGGACTCACAGGCACTCCCTGCCCCGAGTGGCACGTACAAAGTCTCTCATGTACAACTGAGAACAGCTACTGAAAAGCCAGTCCCAAACGCACTGGGAGCTATTTTAGTGACAACCTGAGGGGTTAGGGAATTTCCCTGCCTAGCCACAGAGGAGATAGAGCAGTACCTGAGTGAGATACCTCGGACTGCCTCTTCTGCGAGTCCTATCTCCAGGAGGGCTCCCCATGTTTTCACCCAGGTTCAAATTTCAGCCTTTCTTTGAAGGCCAAAGCCCCAGAGGCTTATGCTGGGCTTGTAGCTTACTCTTATATTCCAGCAAGTTCCCGAGATAGGAGCTAGATCAAAACCTCACTCATTTTTGCAGTTTTCTACATTGATAACTTAACCTAAGCACTTTTTCAAAGTTCTGCAAATGCCAATGGCACAGTGTGACCCCAAAATTCAGGCACCCCCAACCTCACCCAGCTTTGCTACCACACTCTGCATGGGTGCACTGACACAAATCCCTTGGGGTGGGTGGTTTAACTATTTTACATAATGGAGGGGAAGAAGGGAAATCAAACATCAAGGTAAAGGCCTAGTGTTTAGCTTGCTGCAGATGCAAAGCCAACTGCTCATCTGCAAAGCAAACTGCCTTCTTTAAAGGCTACAAAATTACAGCCATACAGTTCCTTCCCAGTCACCTCTTAGTCTGAGGTGCTGCTTACCCCAGTAAACAGGGATATGTACCAGAGGTGTATTTCCAGATTGCAGTAATTTCATTTGTAAGCACAGAACTAGATTAGAGAGGTGGTCTTAAAAGATTCTAAACTTTAGAGTATGAGACATAAACACATTCCTTATCAGAGATTTCCCCCCCCCTTAATAAATCAGTAGGAAAAAGAAAAAAAAAACAACAACAAGCAGGATGGGAAGAAGAAAACCAAGACAGCCTTTGCAGAGAAGGGTAAAGAACATAATGAAAAAGACTCAGGGAAAAGAAAGCCATCCAAATAATGGATAAATTGGCTGGTAGTGTTCTCCCTGGCCCTGTCTGTTGAGCAAGCACCACTGCTCTAGTGGAGAGATGGGAGAGGCCAAGTGAGTCATTCATGTAGTATGGCTCAACCCTGGAAAGGCACCCTCTTCCCCCTTCCCAAACAGGACTCAGTCATACAGCACTGGAGCCAGCGTACCGCTCCCTGGGAAGCGCTGGAGCAACAACTCCTTTCAGGGAAAAGCTTGTGCAGAACTTTGCCCATTACGTTCAGAGTCTTTCAAAGCCAGGCATAGCTCAAGATTAGGCAAGTTTGGTCTGCAAAGACCCCAACTGTGTTTTAGAGCAGACTGTGCAGACATCTGCATCAAGATGACAGACTTACTGCTGTTTAGAGGTTCTTTTCATAGACCTGAGGCCACCACGTTTTTGAGGCCCTCTCAGCTCCAGACCTAGGCTAAGTCACCCAGTGGCAGCTCTAACTATACAGATGTTCCCAGCAAGGCCCACAAGGCCATAGGCTGATCTCTCTTCCCAGAGTGCATGCATGGGTACCCATGAGGGAAAACTTGCAGACTAAGTTGCACAAGCAGGAGTTAAACTCACCTGCTGAAGCTCTGCAGCTAGGGACCTCCTGAACACCACTCCCTGTTCCAAATCCTAAAGTGGCCTGCTCCTATGGAGAGCTCTGTCAGAGTACTCATTCAAAGTCCCCTCTGCTTCCCTCTTCTCAGTCACTCAAAAAAATATTCAGACTTGATCTCTAAATAGGGAATAGAGCTTGGCCTGAAACCTTATACTGGCGACAGCTTTCTGTGTGAATAGGGTAGGGAGGAAGAGGGGTTGTGCCTGTACACAGGCCTCTGGTGCTGCTCTGGAGCCTGTCACCTACCAGATGCATGCTCTCATTCTACTGAGCACCACATGGAGGAAATAAAGGCAGATTTCTAGTTCTTTTATAACTTCCTTTTACTGTTCTGCTCATCATTTTTTCTGGCTCTGCTGACAACAGTACAACACCTTGTTGACATCAGTTTTAATTTCATTTCCTCCACCCTCAAGCAGTATCAGAGGAAAACTATCTAGAGTGATGGGCTGGGGGACCACTGCATTAGAGGGCAATCAGAAATTGTATAGCATTGAAGAAGGGAGCAGATCTAATTGCTGACAGATTCCTTTTGGTTTTAAGCAAAGCAAAACATGCACAGCAGGGAAGAGAGGGGTGGGGAAAAAAGGTGTGGTACCAGGAAGCATTTGGGGGAAAATCCTGCACCTACTTTCTTACAGACTAACAGGAATCTCTGAAATATTCAGATATTCTAGACAAATCAGTGTGCATCAATACACAGCCTTTCTGCTTGCAAACCTACCTTTCCTCACGTTCCCTTTTTTGTTTACGAGCATGACGGTCCATCACGCTAGTTTTAGTCCTTGTCTTCTTCCAGGAGTAGTAAAATTTCACCAGGCTGGCTATTGATTTGTCAGGAAGCTGTAAATTAAACACGTATCCTTTTATATGCTTATATGTAAAGTATCCCCAGGATTTCACATACAATTGGTCTAGTTTTGTCAAGGAACAGCTAATCTCTCTACTTTGAATTCCCTCAGAGGTTCAAGCAAGGCAGCTCTGCAGCCTTTTCAAAAATGTTCCAAAGGGGACTCTTTCAGGTTGCTGCCTACTATTTAGGACATCAAACTTTCTAAACAGCATCTCAGCAAGACCCTACTGACCAGGCAGGCAGCGGGTTCCCTTCAAAATACAGGAACCTAGTGAGAGCAAATACAAAAGGGAGCCTTGAAACTGAGGTAACAGAGTTTTAAAAGCCAACACAGGCAAGTGTATTAAATGTAGGCATTGCTGAATTGCAGGCTACATCCCAAGCGCATCTTTGATGTTTGGTTAAAAAGGCTTATTCATACCATTCACATGATGGAGTCTATTCAAAGGTTTCAACAAAAGATTTTTTCAAAAGGTGAAACATTACTGCATGGTGATCTGAGGATATAGGAAAACACAAACCATTGTATTTTTTTTTGTCCTCTTACACTACATGTCATTTGCCCTGTAGCCATGAACAGAAAACTTGCCTCAAAAAAAAAAAAAGTAAACTACATTAAGACTAATTCTCCACTTCTTAGAGGTGCTCAGTGTGGATGTTTCTCACATCAACCTTCTACAAGGTAAAAGCCCAGCCTCTTTCTGAATAAAACATGTTTTAGATAAGAGTCTGATTCAGCTTGGAGGGCGGGATGGGTGGGAAGGAAAAGAAAACTGTGAGCAAGAGCCAGATCTCTCTCATTCAGACACTACAGTTTAAGTCTTCACTTGAGATAAGCCTGGTTCTCAGACTGCAGGTTCACTTCAAGTTCTAATAATTGCATGAGAAATACCATCCTGGACAACAAATTACAGACGGGCATAAATTCATCCCCTGTCAAACACATGTTGTGCCTTTATAGTAAGCTATTTCAAATGCTGTGTTGCCGATATCCATCCAGCAGGTTGGTATATTGAGATTAAAGTGCTCCACAGAACAAACTCAGGGATGAGGCTGTGAATGACAAATATTACCTCAGCTATAAGCACATCCTAAGAGTGTCAAAATATCAGAACCAGCTCTGGTGGGTAACTCACTTTGCATTCTCTGGCTTCAATGATTTTCCCCTCAGTTCCAAGCTGCACCAGTGCTAAATGGGCCATCAGATATAGAGGAACAACTAAGAGGCTCCCAAGCCATTCATTCCTGTCCCCTGTGAACAGGAAGCTTCCTGCCATTTAATTCCTTTCATGCCAGATAGCCTTTTGGGGAGCAAAAGTAAAAATATTATTACATAGGGAACAGCATATGAGCTTGGCTTCACTGTACTGGAGTGTACGTCACACATGGACAGAGTCATGCTTCTGCAGATAAACTGAACTGTGTTTTTCTTGCTTTGGTGTTTAAGCAAACAACAGGAAGGGCTTTATGTTCTAGATCCCCCCCCGCCCCCCCCCCCAAGACATTTCCTCTTTATTTTTCATTTAAGAACAGAGCAATAAAGAAGCAAGAAGCTTCACTCTTCATGAGTCTACAACTCTCCAGACTGTTTATAACAGCTGCCCATAGCACGTGCAAGTCCTGTCATCAGAACCTACTGAGGAGGAGACCCTAGGACTCCAAGAACATTTGCAAATGAACACCGGTGAGGGAACCATTCAAGGAGGACAAAAGAATGAGCCTCTTCCTGCAGCCCTGCAGTTTTCCTTCATACTTGGGAGGCAGGTCACCTTTTACTGCTCAACAGGATCAGCAAAGGCCTCCACCTGTGCTTTAAAAGAAGCTGAACAGACTGCAAGGCTTACTTTAAAGCATCACAACCAGCGTAACCAAGTCCTACTGGGACACTTGAGAGGTACTTTACTGAGGGAGAGCAAAGAACAAAATCTAGTTCCTACCCAGGCGATGAGCTATGTGGAAAAAAGTCAAGATTTTATTAATAAATAACTTTAAACCCCATCTTCCAAAAGAAAAAGGCATTTTCTTTTGCTTGAAGTCAGTTTTCTTCACTTCCTACCTCCTTATATCCCCCACATCCTGCATTCTGCTTTCAGGCAGAAGCCTCCCCTTGAAGATTTCAATCACAGGAAATTGAAAGAAAAGTTTTGGAAACATTACAAGCAATTGATAGCAAAGCACTGAATACTTCAGACGTATAAACCTCCACCATCGCATCCACTGACAGTCCCAAATCAGATTAAATAGACTTCGCATTCAAATAAAACAAATTCCTAAAAAGCAGGTTGCAAGAAAGGAAATCAACCTTGCACAGAGACCATCTTCACTCTGTGTGTGGGTGGGCATGCATGTACAGACCATGCCTAAACTCCAGCTGAGGCACACACACTACCATAGCACACAGGGGACTGAAAGCTGTGATTCCCAACCAATGAAAATAGTACAGTCAAAGTTTATCCTGACTTGGTAAAGCAGTCTGATTTCACTTCAGGAAAACAATTCCACAGATACTCCAAAAGTAATGTTATTTCTATCTGTTCACAGGACTGTTTTTTCCTTTTAACATCCACTGTGGCCTGTTTCCTCCCAAGAGCATTAGACAGGACTTCAGCACAATTAGCACTGAAGAAGATGGTCCAACTCTCCGTTCAGCCTTTTCATTGCTGTGACACCACTTACCATCTGCTGGATCCTGTGAAAGGTTTTCCCATGGAAGCTGAAGGCCTGTTCAAATAAGACCTTGTCCTCCACTGTCCACTCATCTGGGAACGGAGTAAAGTTTGGCAGATCTGCCAAAGATTTTTCAATGTTGTGCTTGTGCCAGAACAGCATCCCAAGGGCCTAGAAGTAACAAGGACACCAAGGGGACAATTGTAATCACAAGAAACACTATTGCATGCATGCAGAGTGAGAGCTAGAACAGTATGCTCAAGACAACACATGTTAGAGAGCCAAAGTTTTAATTCTCAGCTACATCAGACACTTCTGGGTGCAAGAAACCTGCCATCTGACCCACACCCTTCTGGGTTTTGCAGAGTAGTCTGCAATTAACCCAGACCATGAAAGTAGTAAAGTAATAAGGCAGTAACAACAGAAAGGGGGAAGAAGAGAACTGAAGAAGTGACTCCAGCTTACTGCTCATGGTGGGCACAGGGAAGTTAAAGATGTGGGAAAACTACCTAAAACATCAGACTAGACTGAAGGAAGCTTCTTGTCATTGCTAAAGTCCCATCATTTCCTGTTCAATTCGGAGGATGGTTTAGTTGGTTGGGGTTTTTCTAGTTGGTTGGGGGCTTTTTTTTGGAGGGGAAAGGGAAGAAAAAGGAGGAGAGGATAAGGGAACAACTGGAAGAAGGAAGAGCAAGGGGCATATGCAACCTTGATTTGCTTTTGAGGTGTCTGGCCAAAAGGAGAAATAAATATCACTCATTTAGGGGGGCTGCTCATTTGTTCCCTTCGATTACGTCTCATTTCACTGTTGCAGTCTCCGGTTTTCAGTTCCGCAGACAAAATGCGTGTGCCACGCTTCTGCCACCTGCGAGCGGTCCTCCTCCGTGTTCCCCGCGACACTCACTCAGAGCCGCCCCTCTCCCGGGGGTGCGCAGCTCATGCACGTTATGACACATCACTACATCTGGTATGCCCGTGACCACCACAAGTCATTTTAGGAAGGCCTGACTCTGCAGAGCTACAAATCAGCCTTTCACAATGGCTGTAAAGTGAAAACAATCCCCAAGCTGCTGAGTAAAACGTCACAGTAACCAGCTTGTCATATGCAAACTCAGCTCAGGTTTCACAGCCACAGTTACCCTCAACCAGCAGTTTCAGCCTGTCCACTCGGAGCTACAAAATCCCTTTGAATTTGGGGGGGTTCCCCATTATGCTTTGCTATGCAAAAAGCAGTTCCTTTATGGGTTCTTGCTCCACTGAGATTCTGCAGAAGGTACGATCATAAATACTAACGTTATCCAAGATCTCTTCCTGACTCTACTGGCCTCTCAGTGCTTCCTAAGTTACCTTCTCCTTCCTTGTGCAGGATTCCTTTATGCCACGATACAGAACAAGGAAGAGTCTCAGTCACTACACAATTGCTCGAGATGGCACAGGAGCCACACAGCCCATTAACACCACCCACCCTGGTAAGCATGGAGCCAGAGGAACTATTTTGCAGTGGTTAAAGGCTGAGTTTTCTCTCCTTGCCATACCTCCCAGGTTCAGGTATGAGCTATACCAAATATCTGTATGAGAAAATTAGGCAAAGACGAGGACAAAGATATTTTAGGAAGGCAGGGCTATGCTAAACACTGTTAAGCTGCAAGTGAAGGACTAGGGGACAGCTACTTTACACAAGGCAAAGGGTAAACAAGATTTTCCTTGAAGTCTTCAAAAAAGAGAAAAAAAACAGGAAAGTAGTATTCCTATGAGGAAAAAACCCACAAAACTTGCTTATTACATACAGCTGACAACAACAGCATATCTCAAATTCTTATACACTCCTCCAGCCCCATCCTGCCCTAGGAGAGCTCTCTGCACTTGTGCTCATGTGAGCACACAGCTTACCCAGGCTGGTTTGTCCCAGGATGTCTGATACAGGCTGGCAGGAGAGCCCAGCTCTCTGCCAGACTTGTTGCGGTGCTCCCAAGCCTGTTATTGCTACAGCTCAGCACAACATACTGCAGTTTGCCAGTGCCAACTAAAGTGGATTTGCCCTGACGGAGCTCGCTTGCCTGCTACAGCCCTTTTCCTCGCCTGGAGCTGGCGAGACTGAAGGGACTCCCACCAGCACAGACCTGCAGCCTCCAACAGTCGTCCGTCAGCACTGGAGCCAACACCACGTAACCCAGCCACAAGTGAGGGGAAAGAAAGGAAAATCACATCGGAGCTGCGATCCACACACACAGCCAGCTGGACGAGAAACCCAGCAGGATGAGGAAGATCCACGCGAGCCCCATTCACACCACCAGAGAGTTCACCACTTGTTTCAACAAACCAGCACATCTTCATCTGCAAAGGCAGGCTCTGGGGCACAGATGGAAGGACAAGGGATCCGCGTGCAACAACTTTATTGCCCGAGCCATCCGTACAGTGGTCCTAAGAGACTGGCTTTCAGGAGAACGTGCGCATGGGAAAGCTACATCAGCCAGTAAAGCCCAGAGACAGTGGCCAAATGCTAAGGCTAATGCCCAGGTCTGACTCGCTTCCAGAGAATTCACAGCAGCTTTTCCAAAGAACTACCCAGCCAACAGTGAATCTGGTGATACCTGCCGAAGAGAAAGTGCCCCTGGGTGACACAAATCATCCTGATTTAAAAGCCTTGATACAACTCCCGTTAATATAAAATGAGTATGTGCCTAGCAGAATGATGCAAGAAAGATCCTTTCTAGTTTTTTCCTGGAAGTGCCTAGCTTCAAGCGTCTCAGAAATCTCAAAGGACCTGGAAAACATGTTCATTTTCAGGGTATTATGTGAGAGTGCTAGGGAAGGAATTGAGAAATGTTTAGAAGGGAAGCTTTTAGAAGGAGCTCAGCCAGTCTACGACCTGGCTGGGAGAGTCCCGTAATGTCTACTTCTGCACGTAGAGGAGGGAAAAGAGGCAGCTGGCAAGGAGGTGCTTGAGTTAAGAGGGAAGGGGGGCCTACTTCCAACATTAAAAATAAATGCAAATCTGTTAGTCAAATCTAAGTTTTTCAAAACATAATTATGGTTCAAAAATCACAAGCTTTGTTTTGATCAGTCTTCTGGATCAGTCTGCACCCTCCACACAACACTTAGCCACTGAAATCTACAGGTAATTTTTTTTATTAGTCTACGATGATCTATTTGGTAAATATTACCCACAATTTCCAATACTAAGACACGCCCATCTCAACAGAAGTGAACAGTCAGGCTTGTATTTGGATTTAAATTTACAGCAGTTTGGCACCTTTTTGTTTGTTTTACTCTGGTTTTTGCTCTTGGAAACAATAAATATCAACTTTGATCATTCCCGATTTTGCTGGCTATCTCAGGTTTCAATGCTCTTGTTCCAGAAGATGCCTTTTCAAGAATGAGTATCAACCACTGAAAGTCTGACCATTGAAAGTCAAAGATGATAGCATAGTCATCTAACTAAACACGCTTTCCCATTCAAATCATTTGTTTCTGTGCTCATGGCCTTTGCCTGAACCACTTCATAAATGAAATTCCAAGTTTGCACGGACTCCCTTTTTTAGGGACAGTACATCAGTTGCCAATGTGAATGCCTGCCTTCCCTTTTTCCAGGTAATTATTAGCACATGAGATGACTTCATACGGAATTCAGAAAACTTCCTTTGCACAGGTCTATCACCTCCCTGAATGAGGGCTGGAATCAATGCTAGTTAACAAAGGGAAGATAAGTAAAAAAAATCCTAGACTAAGAAGAGTAAAGGAGAGACCTGCCACTCAAAGCAGGATTTATACCCAGGGACAACTGATGAAGTTACTGTTCACACCACCTCTAGCGCACAGACTTCTGAGCTGCTCATCTCTGAGCTGGAAAATGATTTACAGCACAGTTTTAGGGTAAACAGCCATGGATATAGGTTTGCCTCAGAAAGGAAGGTGATAATACGGTTCAGTAGCTCATTAATAACAGCTAAGACACCCACGAAGCAGAAGTGGGGCAGTCAACTGGAATGCTAGCAAAGACAAGTCTTCCTCACTAGCCAATCTTTTAAATACTGCTTGGGGTTCTGAAACTGTTCGAGAGGTAGCCACCACAGGAATCATAACACTCACGGTCAAACTGACGGCTTTTTGTTTGACAGGGTTTTCTTTTTCCTTCAATTTAATGACTCTCAGTGACAAACTCAAGATGAGCGCTCTGTTTCCAGAGCGGAGGTCATCGCTAGAAACAGTTGGTTTTGGGAGAAGTAAGAGAGGAAAAAAAACCACAAACAGTACAGAAAGGAAGAAGCACTTCTAGGCAGTCAGTTTAAGTCAGGTTTTAATACCTGCCCGGTAAAAACTTTTAAATAAAGTATTCAAAGGATTGTTACCTGCTCCATATTGTATCCATGCTTCTCTTTAGCAATGGCAATATATTCGTCCACTGAAAAACAAAGAGAAGGCATAAAGGTATTTCATACAACGGTCTCATCTCCCTTCCCCTCCCCTCCCCTTTCCAGGTTAAAATCCAGTCCTACAGCTCTGACTTCAGTTATGGTCATTACATCCTCCACGGAGAACCCTTGTGAAGAGCTGCTGCTTCCAACAATTCAAGAAAGGAAGGAAACAAAACAAAAGCAGTCACTAGACAAATGACTCTGTTTTCTTTAACAAGTCTAAATGATGCATGATAGCCAAGCCAGTTTCAGTACTTCTGAAACATGTAGATACATTTCAGAACTGCAGGTATTTTTGTTAAAAGCAGAAAGCCTTTCTCACAAGTCTGCTCGCATTTACCCTTTCAAAGATTTTAATACCAGCCTTGTTCACCAAAATCTCAAAGATGTGAGCGTTTCAACTACAAATCATCTCCTTTTCTTATCCCCCAAAGCAGCTATTTTCTTAAGAACCAAAAACCCCAAGCGCACACAATCTACACCTTCCAACACTGCCAGAAGCCTACAATTTTGCACAGTCACTGCAAATATCTTGGCAAATTTTCAGCCCTTTATGCCTCAGCAATTTTCATTTTGGACCAAACCCCACGTCTATGTATTATTAGGCTCATATGAGCTTTTAACCTTTACTATGTAGAGATGCCTTGAGGAGTTATATTTTGTATAGCTTGGACTACAACTCAAATGTCTCTTTCAGTATGAGTGACCTTACATTGCATCAAGCAGCACCCATTTGAGGGGACAGGGCCAAAGTCAGTATCAGTGTTGTTCTTTCAAAGTCTGCATCCTTGTACTTGGTCATTATTAAACGCACCATAATGATAATAGGGTTGAAAAATTTCACCTAACAGAGCGGAAGCACGGTGGAAACATCGGTCATCTGCAGAAACACTGCTCAGAGAGGTAGACTAGGTGCACAGAGCCAGAACTCTCACTATTTGTAAAAATTGTGAGCTGCAAGACCAGTCACTTTGAGCAGAGAGCTCAAAAATCATTCCCTTTTCATATTCTGCAGATACTCAAGGAAGGATTTAACCAAATTCCTGCAATGAGCGCCCAATTCCTACAACAATATGGAGAGCACTCGCAGCACCTAAGGAAGAAAATAGTTCTGTGAGCCCTGTAGCTAAGGAAGTCTGATTTCTCACAGTTTGTGCCTCATAATCAAGTTAAACTCCCACATCTGCTCCTCCCACGTTTTCCACCTTCAGGAGAACTCTTGCACCAAGTGTCTAATAACATGGCATTTCTTACAGCTTTTCCTTCAGCTAGGACGCTCCTCAATTCTTTCTTCAGCTCAGCAAACCAGACAGTGGGCTCAAAAGTTATCACAAGAAACGGAGATGATGGATCAGAAAAGATACAGCATGAGAGCACTAGTCTCTTATTTCCAGCTTGTCATCAGTGGAAAGAAGAGAACCCCAGGCACTTAAACTGGACATCCCATCTAAATAAACAAGACAGCATTTCCTACCAATGCCAAGTGCCTCATTTGGGAAAATGAGTTAATGTATCTCCTTTTCTCAAAGGTGTTGCAAAAGAGGGCTTTGTTAGAGCTAGTGACATGGCGTAAGCACCATGGAAAAGCCCATGAGAACCATAACACAGCCATAAGCTGTAGCAGCAGAAGAGCATGCTGTAAATACAGGTGCAGTTTTATGTCAGCACTTCCACAGCAGCAAGGACGCTCCGCAAGGTTCTTGCTCTTCCAAACTACCGCTTGTTTCTCCCCACATATCCTGCACGCAGCAGGCACCCCAAAGCACTGATGAACCTGTTTGGGGGACCATGGTCTGCACTGATTCAGTAAAATTCTTACTAGCCCTTTAGGGAAAGGTGTAGCCACAGCCACTCATTTATACCCCTGCAACACAAGCACATTTCTCCCTTCTCTGAGTCAACAAATCATTTCTAAGGACCATGCTGAACTTGCATAAAAACAATCCTTTCTTACAAAGGACCTTTTCTTGCACAATGCAGCCTCTTGAACAGTTGAACTGACACAGTGGGGGCAACGGGGACAGCGACAGGAACTTCTTAAACCGAGACTGCTGCTTTGTTTAATTGAATATCCTAAGGGTTACAGAAAGGTGGGAGCCTCTGAAGTGTTTTGCCACGGAAAAAAATTCTTGCAGAACCACACACCAAGGGGAGAACATGATCCACAAGGACCATGCAGGGACAGAAAAGGGAACTGCCTCCTCCATACACACCACCCCTCCCTCCATGCCCCAGACAAGGTGGTGAACATCAGCAGGATGCAGACAGAAGTGCCACTTCAGATGGCCTCAGATTTCGTAACCACACAAAAAGCAAAGGCTGCCAGGAAACCAGCATTTCCCAGTACCAGTGTTTGGTTGCACACCTTCAGCTTCCTTAGGACAGGTATTCCATATGCAGTGTGTCATTTATTTTGCTTAAGGGGGAGGTGAAGGAAGGGGGAGGGAAGGAAGCTGAATTCTCTAAAGTCCAAGGCTGAATTAAGCTCTTGAATGCTAAGCACTGCTGCATTAGCTAGCTCGCTTTCACTGTGGAAAGATCTACAGTTCCTGATTTGACTTCAGTATCTTAGCCTTTAATATATGCAGAGAAGAGATGAAGTAGTTCTCCTCTCCAGCATATTACCTTTCTCGTGCCAGACATTATAAGCAATTAAAAATATCCTTCTTCCCCAGTCCTCCCCCAAAAGACCATCAAGGCCTTTCTTTTAGCAAGGATCCCCCACATCAGTATCAACAAAATTTTGTTTACACAAAGCCAACACAGCACAGAGGCAAATAGTGGACTACCAGCAGATTAGGCACCATGAAGGAGGCAGGATATTTTTTTTTTAATGTCAGTGTAGGGCACGTGACACCTCCAAGTAGAGAAAGAGGGAAAAAAAAGGTAATAAAAAGATAAGCCACCCAGAAGTACACAGCAGTATACTGTGTCCATATACTAAAATGGTGTTTCGGGATGGAGGAAGAACAAGCAGCATGGTATCGTACTCTACTCTGTCAGTAAACAGGCAGGGAACAAGCCAATTCAGCTCATTCTGCCTGTCATTTCTTGGTTAACTGTAGGTCGATGCTTGCACCATCTGAGAGGTATGACAGTCCCTTGAGCAATCCTCCTAATTGCTCTTTCCTTCCCATCCCCCTTCTTACAAAGGGAGCAAGAAAGAGCATGGCACCAGCTGAGTCTCAGGATCTCTTTAGTCTTCCATACCAGTAGAGCCTGGAATCGCCACAAGCTTAATGCTTCACATGCCACACCAGATAAATAAGCATTCTCTTCCATCTCTGCCTTCCCCACACACCTCCAGCAAAGCCCAGGGCAGTGGGCACGTGAAATTCTGCTCTGCTGCATTTCAGTGCCATTCAGTCATGCATGCCCAGCGTGTAACCCAGCAATCTGTTTAGACAGCGTTCCCAGAGCCCGAGGAGCCTACAGCAGAGCTCTGTCTACACCAGAAGAGACAGTTTGCCAGCATGGTCGCTAGCCGCTTTCCAGAAGAGAATTAAGCAAGAGTAGCAAAGTGACCCCCTCTTGCTCCTCCCAGCATAAGCTCTGCCACAACACGCTCCTTTCTGCCAGCATAACTTTTCCTGCACAGGGGAGGTAAGAACACCCTCCCCTCCCACCCGATTTATCTATGCTACAAAGATGTTTTGGCACAGATCAGACCAAAAAGACAACGATGTCTGATATAGACAGTTGTGTGACAGAAGAGATGCAGAACTCCTGTGAAAGCTCTTGTTGCTACTAGAAACCAGATTGGGGGGTGAGAAACGGAAGAGAATCACAAGTTGATATTTCTTCATATAGCGGGTTACATTTCTTCTCTCACATCTGCATTAGCTGTGTGGGGGTTACCTCCCTGGTCCTGCCTGTCCCATACCCACAGTGGAGCAAGGACTTGCCCAAAGAGCCCCTTCCTACAGCTAGTCACACTCAGGAAGGTATGAGCAATATAAGAGGTGAGGACATGAAGGGGATCGAGTCCCTCATACATATTGTCACAAGCAAAGAGGAGCACAGAACGCTCAGACATTTAAAAAAAAAATGACTCTCCCTAATGCAAAAAGTGAGACGTGCAAAAGGATGGCCAAAGTGTCCCTTGCGCCAGCCGCATTAACACGGAGGAAGAGACAAATGAGACAAAAGGGAGTGGGAAAGGAAGAAAAGAGGAAGATGTTTCCCCCCACCCATCTAGAAGGAAAGGAGTTTCTGATCAAAATGGTGCCATCAACCCCCTGAATTCGGTGGTCTTGTTTCCAGCAGCCTTTCTCATACACCCTTTTATTCTGCTAATCCTCTTCCTGCAAGAATTCCTCACTAGAGGCAAAAGGGGACTCTCTTGGCTGACAGGAGGAGGGAGAGAGGAGCAAACAACTGCATTGCTGATTTTCAGTCCCGCATCCGAGAACAGTGAATTCAGAGAAGTACAACAGGAACATTAATTTCAAGGGGGCGGGAGAACTCCGAAAAGAGAAATGCCTGAAAGCAGTGCCCCCCCCGCCTATCACCATTTGATCAGATTAAGCAATCCCTGAGTGGGTGTCCCTGGAGACTTTCCCCCTCAATTCCAAATTGCTTATTTATGACCCCACAAAGTACATACAATGTTTAGTGGACTCACTGATCCCAAAGAGGGTCTGCAGCAGAAATAAGAGCTAAAGCCTACAGAAAGCAACAGGAATGCAGAGGTAGAGCTGTTGCTGCAACCTCAGTTCACCCCTATTACTGGGGTACTGCAGGAGCTCTGAACACTTTGCATATTACGTGATGCAATATCCTGACAGAACAGGGTGAAATAAGGACAAAAGCAGCAGCCTTCGCAGCCTCAGTAACGTGCTTCACAGGGTTTGATCAATGCTGGAACCTGCGAGGAATTCTGGACGCTGCTGTACATCTCCCCCCTCCTCTCCCTTTCCTTTCAGGGATGAAAAAGTCAAGACATAAATCAACGTTATATAAAGAAAATAAGCAACATAGATCAGAC